TTATATACTCATATGCCATGCGAGTGCCTTCGTTACTGACGAAAGAAGCCTTAACGATCAATTCGTTTACCATCAGCGCTACTTATATTAGCTTCGGGATTGGGAACTCGAGTTCTGTGTATCTTTCTGTTGGCTGAATCATGTACTATCTTTGTACTATGAAACTCATCTGGTCACTGTGCTTGTCTCTTATACCCCACCCATCCTTTACACCCGCGGACCTGTGCGCCTACAGTGGAACACTATCAAGAAAATACAGGTAAGCGAGCTGATCAGTTAGTAAAGTACGGTACGAAGCATCCCGAGCCATAGTCACACGTGTGTTGTGAGCTGGAGGAGTGTGGCTGCTGTAGGGAAACGGCGGTAGAAAGCGGTGTCAGGCATAGGAAGTACATGCGCGCTGCTTATGTCTTGGGGCATTTATTACGGGTGTTTGGTGTTTACAGTACGTATCACCGTCTTTATCCGAGTTTGTTTTTTGGTCACGTTGTATTCCTATATGCAACCGAGCTATCTGGGGGGAGTGGGAGTACACCAGGTGCGAATGATATGATTCCTTGTTGGTTTGGGATGCGGATTTGCTTGTGCTCCCCACATTGCTAGGAATGTGTCAAATATTGAAACACGAATAAACGTCGTTGTGGCCATGTGAGTAGGCGCACAGTAGCCCGAACAGAATTACACTCAACTGTTCTTTGCAGGTATACGTTATCGATATGCTTCGGAACAAATAACGTCTTATTCCCTTCTATCTGAAGGGATTTGACATACGATTGAGTGCAAAAGATCTACCCCTGTTGCATACAATGCAACTCTCGCTCGTATTGCCTTCTATGTGAAGGGATTTGATATACGGTTGAGTGCAAAAGGTCTACCTCTGTTGCATACACTGCATCTCTCACTGAAGTCCGGTCAAAACGACTCGCTCAATGCGATATGTACATGTTTGCGGTACCGAGCCGCTCCACTTTTCTGTGCGGATATCAATAATCAACACTACGAGTGCTGGATGCCAAGTAATATTGTGATAGCTTCCAGGAAACATGCGCTTATACAGGGAAGTAAATTTACAAGCTCTCTCACACATGTCAGGAAGTACGTACGTACGTTTGCTTGGGCCAATTCGTGGTCAGCTAACTTCAGACAGCAGAGCTGCGTCGTTTGTTCCGCAAATGTACTCAGATGTACACCCATATCTGTCAGTATATCCGCTAGCGACTGAAGAGGGTATCGGATCTTTTGGATTCACCTCTGCACACAGCGGTATCAGTAGATTCACGGGCGTAGTAAACAAGTGTTCTCCATATGTTTTTCAACCGCCAGGGTAACCTTGATGAGCCGTTAAACGCCAGGGGCGAAACCCAGGCTAAAGTGCTGGCCAAACGACTGGCCAATACACAGTTTGATCAGGTGTATTCGTCGGATCTGAGTCGGGCTTACAACACAGCTAAGGCATGCTTTGCGGAGGATCTCATACAGAAGGACGAAAGGCTGAGAGAGATCAATTTCGGTGGTAGGTGCATGCACATCAATCCCTGCTTGAGTCGTGTGTTGATGCGTTCCGTTTATTGCCTTGTATCCGTAACGTGTCAGGGTGTGTGTGTACATGTGCACTAATGCCTAGTTGGACTGTCATGAGTCGTGTGCTGATGCGTTCCATTTATTGTCTTGTATCTGTAAGTACCTGTGTTCTATGATTGCCATATCTGGCTCATGTAGACTCGGTAACTCACACTTATCGAACCATGACTTAGATATGAGCACTACTCATGCATCACTCATGTCCTAGTGTGGCACTGCAACTCCACGCCCACTACCATCGACCACGAGAGACATAGCTTTCTTACCTATCTTCCCTCATCAGTGCAACCATATCTTTTTGGAGTACTCTATTCCCCTTAGTACACCTACCCATTACTTGGATCACCTCTTACCTCTTATAATACTCTAATACTATGACTAGAGGCATGGTTTATGTGGGCATGTGCACTATTGCCTAGCTGGACTGTCATGAGTCGTGTGTTGATGCGTTCCATTCAATGTCTTGTATCCGTGACTAGAGGCAT